GTGAATTTTAACTTTTATCAATATAAAATGTCTCTCCTTGTCCCATTCAAAAAATAAATAAAATAAAATAAAATAAAATAAAATAAAATAAAATAAAATAAAATAACAAAAGCAACCAGACAATTCGTGGTGGCATAGTGGGAAGGACGTGGGCAGAGTGAGAGTCGAAAAATCTGGGCTCTGGGCCGAGCTCTGCCACGCTGTGGGCTGCACAGCAGGGAAATTACAGAACTGCTTCATTTGTAAAATGGCTAAATTTGAAGGGGTCCTTCCAGACCTCAAAGCTCTCGGCTCCAGAGGACCTGAGATAGGCTTCTACCTTGGGTGGGCTGTGAGGTGGGAAGAGTAACTCACCAAAGCTGTAACTTCCAGTTAGCATCCGACTGGCTGGCAGTGAGGGTAGAGAAGGGGGAAGGGCGGGTAGGTGGGGGAAGGGAGAAAGAGAGAGTATCAGTCACTGGCTTTCCCTAGATATTGAGTCTTTACAGCACTCTGGCTGCCCTCCCCTGTGTCCAGGATGTGCAAAGGTAATGGGCCAGCCCCAAGGCTATGAAGACTTAATGTCTGGGGATTTAGGGAGGAACCAGATGCTTTAGGGCAGCTGCCTTTAGGGTCTCTTTCAACTGCTAAACAACACAACACAGTTTACAGGCTTCTGCTTTAACAGGGATGGGTGAATTTCTGGAGACCAGCTTGCACTTTGACCCAGCCCTTACCTTTTGGGCAGTGTACAACATGAGCCTTCAGAGCATGCTACAGGAAAGGTCACATCCACTCTTGACTTTTTGAGGACTGGGACTCCCGAGCTTCCTGGTTCTGACCTCCTATGCACACCCTGCACAACCCTATACACACCCTGCACGATTCCTGCTGCAATTCAGCTGCTTTCCTTACATGACAAAATGGAGAAGCGCCCTTCTTCCTGGCAAGAATCTCATTAGACCCCTCTCTTCCTTTCCCGGGGCTTCTCCTCTTCATCCTGTCTCCTTTGCCTAGTTCTTTAGGTTGGTGCAGATGTGAATGAAGGGCGATACGTGGATGTGGAAAACTGAATGCAGTTGGAAGAGAGAAGGGGATCTGGAGAGAGCAAGGCAAAGTTTACCTGCGGGTGTTGGCTGGGCCTGGAACGGGCCTTGGCCAGCTGGAGGAATGCTTCCAAATGCAGAAGAGGCAGGGCTACTGCCAAAGGCATCAAAGTTGGCAAAGCCTCCGTGGGAAGGTGTCTGGCCTACAGGTGGAGGGGATATAAAGGCTGCATATATAAAATGTACATATAATCGATATAATATACACTAATTCCAAAGGCCAAAGGCCACTGATGGGCCATCTGCCTTTCTACAGGGTCCTCTTCAGGGAGAGATGGCAGGGGCTGAGCAGAGGGGATCTCAAAGGTCTCCAGGTTCACTCCCCGCCATCTTTTATCCTTACTCCACGAGGCATTAACATTTTTGTCAAGGCCTCATTCGGGCTTAATCATGTGAAAAAAAAATTAGTTCTGGTGGGGGAAGGCGCTTGAAAGGAAAAATGGAAACTAGACACCGCTTTATTCAACACTCTGTTGGCTACTGCCGATCTTTGGGAAGAGGGCAGGGGAAATGGAAAACAAGATAATCCCTCAGCCCCCATTTTAACAGAGAAAGAAAGTAATAAAAAGGCTATTTCCAGTGCTCTAAAAGGAAGTGCTAGGAGTCCCCAACTGTAACGTTTTCTGGTCAAACTTGCAAACATAATCCCAGCCATACTCATTTGGCCCCAACCCTCCCGGCCTTGAGGCTCCACAATTCCCATCACATTCATTTGTGTGAAGTGAGCTAGAGCCAGGTGAAATCTGGTCACCGCAAGGGCGTGAATTCCTCGTGTCCTGTGTGCATATATTACAAGAATGTTCTTGTCCCAAGTCCCACTTACCCCCAAAGGCTGGGAATGCAGCAAAAGCTGGTGCCACCTGGGGAGCAGCAAAGGGGTCTCCACCTATGTCAGCCAGCAGGTCAGTACTGGCTTTCTTGACTGAGGAATGGGCAGGTGGCTGGGAGCTCCGGGGCTGGGACGTCCGAGGCTGAGACTGACTGACAGACTTGAGAGGAGAAGGCATGACATAGAGCACTTGGACCAGACATGACCCGGCCCCCACATGACTCCCTAGGCTGCCCCCAGATAGGCAAGTGGAGAGAGAAGAGAGGGAGAAACTGCCCTCAACTGAGAGACTCTCCTGGGCAGAAGCTGCCTTAGCCCCTCACATGCCTAACTCCTCTGTCTTCTCAGTATACCAGTTCCCAGAGCCATACATTTTAGAGCCTGTCAGTGAAGGCAAGTCTGAGATATACAGGGATGTGGCCAATGGTCCCCCTGGACCTGTTACTGCGTCATCTTTCCCAGGTGCTCAAGCAGTGTCCCGGCCCCTTCTGTGTTTCCCTGGAGCAATGGTCAGGTTTGAAGCCGTTACTCTGACTTCCCTAAATATCACTTCCTGTTGGGTTCTTTCTTCCAAAACATAGGAGTCCAAGGGGAATCTAAGACATGGGTAACGGCAGGGCTGAGAGCCAACTCACATCTCCTATACTGCTGTCTGCTAAGTCCAGGGGATTGGATTAAGGAAACCAATAGCCCTGGTTCCCAAAACCCCAACCAGTCTCGGAGGGAAGATCTGAGAGTTACCTGGCTAGAGGTGGAGGCAGCAGCAGAGAGAGATGGCACGGGATCCCCTAGAAGAGTCCGCAGGGGCTTCCCTTCTGGGACGGAGCCCTGGATGGGGGTGGAGGCACTGCCTTTGGTATAAGCGGGCCCCTTGACTTGGTCTGGGGGGACATACCTTTGAGAAAGAATAGTCAGGTGACATCATGGGCCATGCTCAGCTTAGGAACCCGGGAAGCACAGGTGACAGAAGTCCAAGTCCCTTTTCCTTTTCCCACTAATTCTCTTTTTTGAACTGAATTTTGTAACTCAGCACATTTTGCCCATCTTGAGAGTCCTCTTTACCATCAGGTGCTCATTCTTTTCTGACTTGTGCCTGTTTTTCTCTCCTCTCTCCTTTCTCTTTCTGACATCAAACCATCTGGGTTTCAAGTGATAACCCCTCAATAATGCTGCTGGACAGGCAATCCTATTTTCCAACTTCCTTTTTATTTCCTAGGTGTTTCTGCAGGTTCTCCTCCTTAGTCCCACAGAAAAGTTTCTGCCACCTCATCTTCTAAGTGCTCACAATCTATCCTGCCAGCTCCTGCTACTTCTGATAAAATCCCCTCCACTCCAATGCATGTGGTCTTTTACTTTGGAAGTATGTTCTATAGCCAGAGAACACCCCAGGAGGGACTCCAAAATGCTGTTATGTCCACAACAATCCCCTTGCTGTCTGTGTTCTCTTCTCCACCCTATAGGTACCTCCCAACATGCACACAGGACTGAGATCAGACAATAGGAAGTGCCACCTGGGGAGAGAAAAGGCAAGGGAGAAGAGAGACGCTGTTTTTGTCACCAGGAAAACAGAACACACAGATAAATCATGGATGAAACGATGGGGTAAAAGCACAAAACTCTCGGACATGCTTCCAGCCGCCTCTCTGCATCTATGGCCCCAGCTGAGCTATAAATCTGACCCACACCCCCTCAGGTCCAGCACCCCCTCCAAGCAGTCTAATGTCTCCCCAAAAGAGGGGCATCAAATCTTCAAGGTTAGTGACCAGTAACAAGTTGTCTTTTTAGGTAGCTTTATTTCTTTGAAGTCAGAATTGGGCCCTAACTGAATCTGGGTGGAGCACACTCAACCCAAGCCTGGCCTCTTGAGAGAAGCCCCAATTCAAGTCTGGAAACTAGCCTGTCAAACAAAGAATGTCTTGGACATGTGTCTCTATATAGCAATCTCTTTCCTCCTCCTTACCATCTCTTCTTCTCATATTTTTCCTGGAGAAACTCCTTCACCTTCTGAGGATCCCTGGAGTCTGGTATTAATGACGTCCGAGCATCAAAAAGACCCAGCCAAATCTTCCTGCATACCTAAAGGAACGGAGTCAGGTGACAGGAGTTGAGGCAGAAAGCATGAAATGGGAATGATACCACTTCCAATGTATTCATCAATACATATTTATTGAGCACGGACACAGGGCGAGGATCTGGGTATACCTACAAAGCAGACATGATCCCTGTCCTCACAGAGTTGACCATCTAATGGGGAGGTCCTGCCTTAGATAAATAAAAATAGATTTATCATTACATAGTATGACACATCTTATAAAAGAAAATAGAGGGCCCTGAGAATTATGGAGCACTAAATCTGGATGGGGGTGGGGTCAGGGATAACTTTCAGAGCTGTGGCTTCCAGAACACCCTCCAGAGGCCTTCCCTTGTTTGCACCCCAAGTAAACCAATCACCCGCAAGCTAGGAGTACTGTTAACACCAAAGACAGCATCTTCCGACCAGCAGATTTAGCTGGGGAAGGGGTTTAACTCACTTTCGAGTACATGACATGAACTTAAACCCAGGGTGCTGAGGCTCAGGTCAGGAGAGCTGGCTCTAGGAGATCTTACTCAGAGGGGCTGGCCCAGGCAACTCTGAATGCTCATCAGTGTGGAGCTCTAAATGTCAAGGGACAGTTTTCCTTGTGAGTACCCAGGGGTCACCCCCACACAGATTTTGCTCCTTTCCCTGATTCCTCTAACAAGGGCCTAGACAAATCACAATTTGTATAACTAAGACTCCATGAATATATAAATATACGTAAGGTAAGACACATTTTAGGCTAAAAAATAAAAGAAACTTGGCCAAAAAAGAAAGCTGTAGGATTTTTCTATAATCTGGACGCAAAGTTCACCCCGGCCAATGGGGCAACTACACCAGTAACTGTTCCGTCAGTGGTAGCTCACCTCATTTCCACGGGATTGCAGGAATACTACTTCAGGCTCAGTGAAAGTTGTCATGGAGATGGACTTGACTCGGTGAGGGGGGTTCAGGCCTCTCCTGTGGGAGAGAAACAGAAAGAGAAGTACAATGCAGTTAGCCTGCAGGTCTGTTTATGGGAGGAGGGGGAGGGAGAAAGGATAAAACAACACATAAATTAAGCTCAGGTAGAATTTCCCGACTGAAGCTAGTTCCTAATTCAAGGAAAGATGGGAAGCAAGAACGTTTGGGAGGTTGTTAATCAGAGACAGGGACGACAGAGTCCAGAATGTGTTGTGATCCCACTCATTCTGGAGAGTAAGGCAGAGTCCGTCCATCCAGAAGCCTTCTCTACTTTGACAAGGTTCTGTGTTCAACCTGCAGGCTGGGGGTACTTCTGGGAACTCTGAGATGTGCCCACTTCCCATTTCCTGTTTTACCACTGTTTTAGACCTGGCTGCCCCTCCTCTTTGTCTAGACAGAAAGTGTGTTGGTAGAGATGAACAGGGTCCCTCTCTTTCAGGAAGAGATCTCTGGGAAAAGAAATAGTCCAGACTCTGGGTTCTAGATCGATCAATTGATCTTTCTTTCTTTTTTAACTTTTTTTAATGCCTTCATTTATTTTTGAGAGACAGAGAATGAAAGGGGGGGGGGCAGAGAGAGAGGGAGCCACAGAATCTGAAGCAGGCTCCAGGCTCTGAGCTGCCAGTGCAGAGCCCAATGCGGGGCATGGGGCTCCGGGCTCAAACTTGTGAACTGTGAGATCATGACCTGAGCGGAAGTCAGGCACTTAACTGGTTGAGCCACCAGGCGCCCCCTAGATCTTTCAATGAAGCAGGAGGAAGTCAGGTTCAACCATGAGATAGGAGATTGGCATGAGTCAGGAACATATATCCTGTAGTGATGCTTTTGTGTTTAGCTCTGTGTGTTCTGTTAACTCTCTGAAAAGTCTAGTTCTGCCCATGGAAGCCCTGTGGAGATTGCAGTAGACAAGAAGGCTTCCTTGCCCCCACTCAGCTGCCCTCTGGAGTGTTCTAACAAGAGAAACTTGGCGCTAAGCCAGGTTCCCCTTTCCCTTAAGTTTTACTCTGGTCTAGACCAACGGCACTCATCAGATGAAAACAAAACCAGCCAAGCCAAAACAAATAAATCAGACCCTAGGACCACAATGTGAAAGAGCCCAGGCACATGCAGGAAAGACAGTCTCAACTGATGAGGTCTCTTCAGACTTTTGGTCTCCTGGGAAAAATCGGCAAATCAAGATGGGAAAACAAAAGTAACTCTAGCATAGGGTCCTAGTTGATGCCATCAGGAAAGCAAAGAGGGAAGTAAGAGATAACACAATTTACCAAATGGAAATCCTAGAGAAAAGTGGGGAGAACACACGTTCATGCTTATGCATGCACACACAGATTAAATGCGTCCTTGCAAGTCTAGAAGAATGGCAGTACACGTGTTAGTGTACGCTATGGCAATGGGGCGGGAACAGGGGAGAGGTGACACAGTACAGAGTGAACAGTGAAGGGTGCAGCCCCTTTGTATGATAAATTACTGATTATGGGATTCTAACAAAGGACAGGACACTGAAGGCTACAATCAAAGGCAGTTTCAGCAATTCTGCTGCTAGGCTTTTAAGTAAAGGGTCTCAAAATCCTCCTTTAAAAGACAGTATCAAAGAGGACTGATGCCCCAAGGAAAGATTAGAGCAGTGAAATCCAAAAGCAAGGCTTTGTAACTACACGTCAAACAACAGCTCTTAAACTTGATCTGCCCTGAAGATTCTCTTCTAATCACATTTCAGAGATATTCCAGTTTTCTCTCCCAAAGCCTCTCTTATAATGGCCTTGTTTTGTTTTGAGTCCAGACAGCCTTTTATATCCTTTCCCTTACCCTTGCTAACCTTAATCCCTAGCTAGGCCTTCCCTCTCAGAATGCCAGACTGCTCTGAGGTCTAGCTAGAGCGGATCTCTCCATCCTTATGATCCCAGCTCCACCTCCCACTAACAAATATTTGCTTTGCCAAAATACAAGGCATTATGGTAAGCACTTTGGGAGATACAATAGACAGCTGTTTATCACTATATATCATATATATCACATAGGACCTAATCCTTGATCACCAGGACCTTGCTTACAAGGCCCCAAAGAGCCTGGACAAAGATACGTCTCAACACAGTTGGGTGCCATTCAGGCACACACAGCCTGATCAGGGAGAATGTGGCACCAGGATGCAGCAGTGGGGGAAGGAAGAGAAATGGTCACGGGAAAAGTAAAATATATTACGTTTACTCTAGAAAAACAGATTCTAAGCCTATCACAAAAAGGTCATTGACATTTCCTGAAAGGACAACCAGGAACTGTTAGCAAAGTGTAAACAGGGAGGTGTGCTTCCTTGTAGGGGGAAGGGGAGGGACTTGACTCACTCATCAGTCTAGAGGGGATGATTAGAACAACAGAACTTCCTATGGCTGAGCTTGGACTGGAGGGTTTTTTTTTGGGGGGGGGGGTTGTCGCTGGGGGGTAGAAGATAGGATGAAGGGAAAGCAGAGAAAATAAGTGATTTAGGTGCTTTGGGCCAAATGAATCTGAAGGAACAGGATGTTTCCATAGCACAGTACAAAAAGCACTGCTCTGACCTTGATGTCTGTAGACTGGATTATGTATAACTAGAGCCACAGTTTGGGGGCAGGGAAAATTCTCTACAACGCAACACTCTGCAGCCCAGGAAGAAAGAGGACCTAGTTACATGGCCTATGAGTCAGAGCATTTGTTTCTGAATCAGAGAGAGGCCATCGCTGGCTGACAGAAGCAATTTAGAAACAAGAGCCCCTCTCCTCCCAGTAGCTGCAATCGAATGGTCTAGCGGTACTGGGTCTCCCTGGGGTCATAGCAGGGTCATGCAGTGGGCCATATCTGAGTCACTGGCCTGGAATCAAACAGACCCAGCTCTCCAACTTGCACCCGGTCTCCCCAGCATGACTCTCAGGTTCTCCCCAAAAGAAGTGAGAGCTGGAAGGAGGCACTGCCCTTCGGTTATCGCAGCAAATCCGTTCTGTTATTTCTAACCAGGAGGTGTTGGGGAAACATAGAGATAAACTTATTTGCCCAGAATAGGGCATGTTTTTCCAACTGAGAGCAAGTACATTACTAGGACTCAAGCCTCAGCCCTGTCATGACGCCTTCTTTAACTTCAGTTTCTCTTTCACAGGGCACCTGACCAGCATTTGAAGTGCTCTGAATTACTGGCAGTGAAGTGACTTGCAAGGACCTGAAAGCCTGCCCAATTCTTTTTCCTTGCCTCTCTCTCCCTTCCCTTTGATTCTATCAAGCATACTGCTGTTTCTACAAATACCACACCTTTTGTTTTTCTGTGAGCATCACCCTCACAATGGCCCATATTTTACTTCTGTCTTGCTTCATGAAAGTCTTGAACCTGCTCAGCTGCTCAGATAAGAAGGTTCTGTCAGGTCAACAATGGAAAAAAACAGTTCCACCCAGCACCCAAGTTCTTTCATTTGTACCAGATTTGGACTTGGGAACTCCTGACTTCTGAATATTTCATGTTCAAATTCAAACACCCCAGAGGGGGTTTCTTGCTTCTGGATTCCAGTCCTCTGCCTCTGAGCAGGGTTCAGTGAAACCACTGCAGTTCTTGGACCCAAACATCACCCAAAAGAGTCCCTATTAGAGATTCTTACTAGTCCCTAATAGGAAGGCTCCCCTATTTCCCTTCTCCAGGCTCAATTTCACTAATTTTAGGAAACTTCTTCCTAATCTAAAATCCCTGCCTCAAGCCATTTCCTGTAGTTCTTCCTTAGTGACAATGATAAACAGCTGTCCACTCGTGTAGAGCACACAGAATCCTCTGCTTTCTTCTTCAGGCCTATTCTCAATCCTTTTACATTGTTCCCTCTTCTTCTTATGTCTTTGGATGGAAGGTGAGGTGGGAGGGGTGAAGGGATGGGACTAACACAGGGGCAATGAACACATCTACCTCTCTAACCCAGATGGATGGAAAAGTACTGAATTATTTAACACCACACTACGCCTTTTCTTCCATGGAGATAAAAGTTCTTCAACTAGGAGGGCACCTGGGTGGTTCTGTTGGTTAAGTGTCCAGCTCTCGATTGTGGCTCAGGCCATCGTCTCACAGTTCGTGAGTTTGAGCCCCACGTTGGGCTCTGCACTGACAGCATGGAGACTGCTTGGGATTCTCTCTCTCCCTCTCTCTCTCTCTGCCCCTCCCTACTTGTGCTCTCTCTCTCTCAAAATAAATGAATAAACATTAAGAAAACCTGCTTCAACTAGGAATCACTACTAGCAAGCCAGATGGGGAAACTAAGGCACAAGGAGGTTAGGAACCTGTCACAAGTAAAGAGCTGTCAAGCACATCTCCTGGCACCCAGCCTAGAGCTTTGTCCACCTGAATCCTGAATTAATCCCATTACTGGAATAAAGTTGTGCAGAAGTAGAGGAGACAAGTATCTATTACTGAGACCAGAAGGTCAATGGATTAAAAAGAATGGACCCAAACAGCCCAGTTGGGGAAGTGTGCCACATATTCTGTTGAAAAAATTGGGTGTCAAAGGTAGTGCCCATCCCTGATGTCAAAGACATTTCAGGACTCAAGATCTATTTTCTTTCTAAAGAAAAGTGCTTTATCCATTGAGGCATCCAGTCAAACCAGAACAAGAAAACACATTTAAGGCACTGCTTCGGAAAAAGCACTTTTTAGCAGCAATCTAGCATCATTCTCTAGTAGGAGAGTTAGACACAACTAAACAAACAAGTGTATGTATATGTTGGGGACATGAAATCTATATCTAGGTTAAGGAAACTAGGTATTGGATGAAAACCAAATGAATAAAACTAGGTCAAGTTTGGGACCTACAATTGTGGCAGCATGTACATAAATTTAGAAACAGCAAAAACTAGCAGCTTCTCTCTCAGTCCCTCACACCAACGCTGTAGTTTTCTGCTAGAGCTGAGAAAATAGTTCTCATTAAAAAAGAAAACGAGAAAGAGCTCACACATGTAGCAATGAAGCCATAGGCATACCCACCCACCAGTATTAAAATCGAAAATTTCTCCAGATCCTGGGAAATTCAACTTTGGCTGAAACAGTCAACTTTGCTACCTCAGCACGTGTAGTCAGCTGGGAACTCGGGTGATTGTGCACACTGCCCCCAGAATATTCCATTGCTCTAAGACGTGGAATATTTGTAACATACTCAGCAGAAAGCTGGCTTTCAAAATAAAGCCAGTCTCCCTGTCTCCTTTCTCTGGCTGTGGTTCTAAGTGTGGTATTTGAATTCCCTGCCCCCAATATCCTCGTCATTTTTAACAAAGAATATACTCTTTTCATCATCATAGCTCAACACGAGCTCCCATCACTCTCCAGCCCATGCTACTTCACAGCACTTATTACTACCTGCAAATATATATTTAATGATTGAATTCGAGTCCACAGTCTCCAGTATGATGTAAGCTACATGAAGATTGTACTTTGTCAATTTTGTGCACTGCCGTATCTCCAGTGCCTAAAACTGTGTCCGGGTCTTAACAGGCACTCAATAAATGTGTTGCCAGACTGACTGACTGAATGTGCCACCTCCACATTTTTCACTTCCCAGTACCACAAAATCCTAATCTGTGGGCAACCATGTGGGTTTAAGATGTTAACTGGTATATGTGTCACTGGGGAGCCATGCCCCTCTGCTGCCTGCTGAACTGTGTGTGTCCCCTCTTCACTCTGCAGCCAGCAGTAAGCGTCCCTCACTCATTCTATTTCTGGCTCACCTGCCAGCACCCAGCCCCTCCCAAGGTCCATCAGAGAGCACACGTAACACTTTGTGAAGACCCTTTTATAAGGTTTCTATGCCTTGCCCTACTTAGTTCATGCTAATTAGAACTCCAATTAGCAAATGAGAAGCACCATCAGAACCCTGGCAGACAGTCACAGCCAGGGAAACTACAGCTTTCTTGAAGAAGTTTCTTCTGATAGCTCTCTCCTTATAATCTTGACATGCCTTCAGTTCAGCCTCATTTATTGGCCCAGCCTCTTGATCCTCCACTAAAAACCAACAATAATGAGCACAGGGGAAAAGTAGTAAAATTTTGCAATTTGTGCACTGATATTTAAAGAGAACCGCTCCAGCAAAAGAAAATCAGGTTTTTAATGTGTGCCAGATCCCTTGACCCTCTTTCTGTCCTGATTGAGGGAATACTCATTACAGAAGTGAAATGTTATCTATGGGAGACTTTAAACCAAGATCTATAAAATAATGATAATGGTGTCAGCCCTCCCATTTAGTCAGTGATTTATCTTTTGTGCTGTGCAGCTAGCTGTGGGAATGAATTAACACTATTTCCAAACATTTTCTTCCCAGGACCTAGACTCTGATATACCATCATTTTTATCCCCCTGCTTCCAGACTCTATAATCAGATTTTCCTTTTCATAACAGGATCTTCAAGAATCTGTTCTTTCTCTTTCTGCTATAAACATTCCTAAACGTTGCTCCTTCTCTCCTCAGACTATTCGTCCCAGACTCAAGTCTATCCTTTTGCTTCACTTAAGTCTCTATCTTTTGACACATTCCTGTTTGCGTTCTAATCATTGTCCCAAGAGCCATAATGACGTTCACTAAGACCAAAGTTATAACACACAAGTGAGGTTGATCAGAACACAGAAGTTTGGCAAAGGAGGTAAAAACGAAACAGAAATAATCGTACACTGTATCTTAGGAGACCTGGATCTTCATTTCTGGTCTGCCATGATCATAACTAATATCCAACAAGAAATGCTGAGAACAGCAACCCCCATATGGCATTGGATAAATTACTAAACCTCTCTTTGCTTCTGTTCTCCCATCTGTCATGTAAGAACAATACTGCCCGCTCCTTGGCTCCTAATGGTATTAGAAACAAGGAAAGCACCCCTTGTTAAATCTGAAACCAACCGACCAAACAAACCAATGTACTAAAACAATACTAAACAAGTCCAAATAAATCCCTTAATAAACTCACAGAAAAAGAGAGATACAGCATTGGTATCAAATGCTAACCAGGCATCTAACCAAATAATTCCCTAAGGGGAAAAAGAACCCTACTCTATAAGCAGAATTCTGGCCTAGAACTGTGGCTCTAAATTAGCTCAGGCATGACCAAATCGAGTGCCAGTGCCAAGTGTAGCACTGCAGATTATACAACAAAACTCCCCCAAACCTACAAAGATGCCAGATGCTACTACCAGGATCAAGCCATGGCAACCAGAAGCTTAAAGGTGTAAACTATGACACTTAAGGATGGCTCATCCAGATACCCAAACCTCTGGAAAAATTAAGCTCTCTAACAGGGCAGCCCAGCAGCTCCCATCTCTTAAAATTTGTAAGAAATCTACCTCTGGGTAGCATCCCCAAACCCTGCGACATTAGGGCCTGCACCTGAACACTGGAACATGGTTCCTTACCTAGTCACTATGTCTATGCTGTCAACTGGACTAACTTATCTATTTTAAATTGGTTTTTGCATCTCACACTCCAGGATGGGCACAAGCTAATAGAAAAGTATGCTTTATCTAGGGCCCAGTTCACTCTACTTCTTTCCTACTTGCCCCCCCCCCCAAAGTTCCCTTGAAAGGTGGGTGTCATTCTCTGGCCCTTTAAATATCTAACCACCTTCCCTTCAACTCTCCCCACTTTCGGTTCGCCTCTCCTCCCTTAGGGAGTTTCTCCCTTCTTCTTCGGTGTCCTTCCTTTCTCCTGCAACGCGACTCCAATCGTGTCTTGTCTCCCCTGCCAATTTCCCTTCCCCATGACACCTCTGCAGCGGGGGACCCTCTCAGCACATGAGGCGCATCTCCAGGCCTCCCCGCCGCCACTACTCAGCTCTGGCCCTGTCCCTTCGCCCCAGATCCCCGCTGTCCCCAACGCCGACTCTCCGCTGTCCCTTCCCGGTCCTGCCCCCTCCCCACCCTCCGCGCCAGTCCACTCACAGGAGGCCTGAGCAGGTGGTGCAGACGAAGCTGCCCACGGTGATATCCACGTAGGTGACCCCGCGCTGGGCGCACTCGAAGCAGTGGCGGTTCCCGGCCTGGCTGCAGCCGCCCAGTTCCCGCACCCGGCGACACCACACCTCCGAGGCCGCCTCCGCTTCCGCCTTTCCCCCGCTGACCCCTCCACCCGGGCCTGGACCCTTCTTCGCCGCCATCACCATGGTTGCCTGCACCCTCGGACCTCCTCCCCGCAAGTCAGCAATCGTCCCTTCAACCACAGCCGCCTTCCCGCCTCCTCAGCCTCCTCCGCACGCTTGGCTCCCCTGACAGAAACTACGGAGCCGGCGACGTCCGCGCGAGACTCCTCAACCCCTTGCCTTGCCTATTCTGCACGCTGATTGGTTGTTCTCCCCCCACCTCCTCACTCTGATTGGCCTGACATTGGACGGCCTTGGGTTGCGGGAGCCGCCAACGCCACGCCCCACCGCCTTCACCCTCCGGCCTTTCCCATTGGCCCTCAGAGACCCTGCCCCTAGAACCGTGCGTGCCCTCTCCCCGTCCCCGCCCCCTCTCGCCACTGCCTCCACGGCGGCCCGCCTCCCAGATTCGATTGGTGAGTCCTCGGAACTCTGGCTCTGACGTTAACCCTGATTGGCTGCCGCGGCGGCAAAGTTAGCGCGCGAGAAAGAGTAGGTGTCTCGCGCGTGCGCAGCCCTGGTCCTCCCGACTGATGACGTTAATTCCCGCCAAATTTCAAAGGCATAGCCTCCGCTAGACTGTGCAGAGAGGTACGAAAAGCAGAATGAAGTGGCATATAAGGGACCAGGAATGGCGTATGAGGGGCCGAGGGGAGGAGGAAAAGAAGGGAGCTCTCGGAGGGAGGGAGGGAGAAGGAGAGAGAGTGCTTGCTTTATAAGTGCCATTTCATTCACTCCTACCTTATGCCATAGGAAATCTCATTTTACAGAGATTTCATTATACAACTTCCCGTAGGTCACACAACTGTTGCATGGCCCAGCCAGGATTCTGATCTGAGTCGTCTGACTTTAGAAACCCTGCTTTTACCAGCACACTATCCGTGGAATAGTATTTGACAAACACGTATTGAGTGTCTAATATAGATTTCAGTCATTGTGCTAGACAGTGGAAGTCCAGCAGTAAACCAATCCATTAAAATTCCTATCCTCATGGAGCTCACCTGCTAGGAGGGGGAGGCAGACAACAAACTGAAATTCTTCATCAGTTAGTGATAAGTTCTATGCAGAGAATTAAAATAAGGTATTGTAAAGGAGAGTGACTCACTGGGTATTTTAGATTGGCTACGGGAACCATCTCTAATGATGTCCCTCAGTGATATTTAAGCTGAGACCCGAATAACTGAAAGGAGTTAGCCATGAGAAGATCTGAGGAGGAGCAACCCAAACGGAGGGAAAGCAGGTGCAAAGCCCCTAAGGCAGGAAGAAAGTCAGTGTTTTGAAGCAGCAAAAAAGAAAACCAGAGTGACTGGAGCATGATGACTGAGGGAAGAATGGAGGGGATTGTACCGGAGTGAGAACTGATCGTGTGGAAACTTCCAGGCTTTGGTAAGGAGTTTGAATATCCTTCTAAGTATGATGGGAAGCTGTATTAGTTAGAATTAGGTCCTATGACAGAAAACCTCAAATAACTGGGACTTAAACAAAATGAAGTTTCTTTCTTTCTCATGTAGAAATCTAGGTAGGCATTTCAGGGCTGGTGGGTTGCTCCACCATGACAGGGACACAGGCTTCTTCTATCTTGTTGCTCACAGGGCATTACCTCCACTCCCAAGTTCACCTTAGGATCTGTTCCAGCTTCAGCCATCATACCTGCTGCATGTCTTTTTAAAGACATGCCAGGAGACTGCACACAACTTCATTGGCTCTCACTGGTCAGAACTTGGTCACATGACCACACCTAAGTGCAAGGAGGAACTCTGGAAAATATGTTCTTTATTTTGGGCTTCTATGTGCTCACCTAAATTTCAGAAGTTCCATTATTGAGGCAGAAAGAAAGAAAGGACATAAAGATAAACTACATAAACTACAGTCTCTGCCACAGAAATCATTGGAAGAATTGTAGCAGGAGCAAGCCATGATCTGATTTTCAGTTCTGAGAAAAAAAAATCATTCTGTTTACAATAGGGGAAATGGTTATAGGTGGGGAAGGTTGGAATTAGGGCAATTAAGAAGTGAGTTCAGCAGTCCAGGTGATGGTGGCATAGATGGCATAGACCGGGGCGGCAGGAGTGAGTTGGAGAGAAATGGGTTGGTTCTGGGAATGTTTTGGAGGTAAAATCCATAGGATTTGTTCATGGATTACATGTGGAGGTAAGGGAAAGAGGAATCCCTGGCAACCTCGCTAGAGAAGCATTGTCCAACAGAACTCTCTGTGCTGGTGGAAATGCTCTGTATCTGACTGTCCAATATGGCAGCTACTGGCTATCACGCACTTAAAATGTGACTAGTAAAACTGCAAACCTGACATTTTAATTTAATTTAATTTTAATTAATTTAAATTTAAATTTAAATTTAAATAGCCACATGTAGTTAGAGGCTACCATATTGGGCAAAGCAGCTCTAGATTTTTGTTTTGAGCAACTGGTTGGCTTACGGTGTCATTTATTGAAAAAAGGGAGACTGTAGCAGGAGCAGGTTAGGGGATGCTGATAGACAGAAATTGGTAGCTTTGCCTTGGACATGTTGGTTTGAGATCCTTGTGAGGCCTCCAAAGAGCTGATCAAATAGGCAGATAGATATATAGTCTGGATTTGCAGGTGAGGCCAGAGCTGGAAATGTAGGTGAAGGAGTCATCAGTATATAGGAGTTATTTAAAGCCACAGAATTGGATGCGTTTGCTTAGGTACAGCATATAGACAGAAGCGGGCCCGGAACTATGCCCTGGGCACCCCAATGTGTAGTTTGTTATCACAGCCACAAAGTACTTCAGTGACCCCAAAAGGAGGCAACGTCAAGTCACCTTCAGATAAGACAGATGTGACATCTCAGGCCACTTTAAATGTTCCTTCTAAGTTTCAGAGTTCACTGTCTCAAAGTGCTGCCCATTCCTCCTCTATTTCTCGGTAGCCAAAAGTTATTTCTTACTGTTCTGAAACCTGGGGCGAATTGGTAGACTTAGCTACCACCAAACCCTGATATGTACAATAGTGGGGGAGGAAAATTGGTACATTAATATGGATTTTGATGGTTTTCTGTTAATTTGTGCCTCTGGGTGTGGCGATGCCCAGCGAAAGGAGGCAACCACCTCTGCCCCTCCTTGGCCCTATCAGGGACTAACAACCCTACTTCCCCTTTATAATCAGGGTCGCACAGCTAGTACAGGAACACCCTTTGCTGCAATTGCCCTAGTGGGAGGAGGAATTCCAAAAGGCCAGGTGGAACCCTTACTGAGTTCCCTGATGACAGCACCTCATCTTGGACAGTTACACCCACAGAGCATGAGTGGTTTGGGGTATGGGAAGCATACCATTATCTTTTTAAAGAGAAAATACTAAGAGCTGCCACCCTCCACCCCCCACCCCAGCCCTCTGTATTGGCCGAGGGAGAACTGACACTGCATTTCAGTCACTGTTTGAGATCACATGTCACTTTCTACCAGAAAGTGTCCCAGCCTCACAGGTGCAGTCTCTTGGATACTGCCAGATCTGTTTTCAGAACACCATTTCATTGTTCTGTAAGGCCAGCTGCTTCTGGTGGATGGGAAATATGATAACGGCCCATGGCTTGCCAACTCTCTCATTCCTGTCCCTGGGAAGTGAGCTCCTTGGTTGGAGACAGTTTTGTCTGTGTTCTGTAAAGTCAGTAATTCCAAGAGTGGCAAAACAGAGGCATGACCTGTGGGGAGAGAAAACCCATATACAGAATAAATGTTCCTTCCAGAGTGTAGAATTCATCACACCCTCTGTGAAAGAAGGGACCCGATAGAGTTGACCTGCCATGACATTCCTGACAGGTGCCCAAGAAGCCTGGTGGTCCATTAGGGCTTCAGGACTATGTCCAGCTTCCTACTGAATTAACTTACTGTTTGTTTATTTTTTTTAAACATTTATTTATTTTTGAGACAGAGAGGGACAGAGCATGAGCAGGGGAGGGTCAGAGAGAGAGAGGGAGACACAGAATCTGAAACAGGCTCCAGGCTCTGAGCTGTCAGCACAGAGCCCGACATGGGGCTTGAACTCACAGACTGCAAGATTATGACCTGAGCCAAAGTCAGACGCTTAACTGACTGAGCCACCCAGGTGCCCCTTAACTTACTGTTTATAATACTTTTTTTCCAGTTGATTTTCTTCATTTTTCCAGATAGAGATCACGTTAACTTCAAATAAGGATAGTTTTAACTTCTCCTGGTTTTTTTTTTTTTGTCCCCAATTACTTTCTTTTGTC